AAGCCCATTTAGACATATAATTAAGCAGGGGAAATGGCAAGTTTTAAGATGATTCATGTAGTGCAGTACCATCTGTGTTAGGACAAAAAGCCCAACAAAGCGTGCAGACGGGAAGACCATCCACTTCCTGCTGCCAGCCATCATCCCTGAGGAGCAAGTGATATGGGGGAGGGAGGGAGACCTTGGCTTTACCTGTATTTCGGAAATACTACTCACATGGCAATCATGTATTATTGGATGATGAAAAATGGTCAAATAAAGTTGAGAAAGAAAACAATATGAAACTTGAACCTGGTCATTTCTTTGTCAGTCAACATTAGAATTAGCACCTCAGTGACAGGGCCAATTCTTTTTTTGGTCTTCATGACCATACCCATTTGCCCCCTCAGTTTTAAACTGGATACACAATAATACACTTTCCACCGTAAGGTACCAAATATTGATAGTTTCATAGTGTGAGTCAGAAGAGACGGAAGAAGTTGTCTGATCCTGCATGTGCATGGATGAAGAAAGAGTAGTCACCCCCTGCTTCCGTTCTCCCACTGTCCCCCACAGCAGCATGATGGCCAGTGATAAGGGTCAACTTGGCTGGCTTAAGGAATACGTAGAAACCTGGTAAATCACCGTTTTTGATGTGTCTGTGAGGGTGTTTCCAGAGGAGATTAGCATGTGGGCCTGAGTGGAGTAGTGGGGGAAGACCCACCCTCAGTGTGGGCAGGCGCCATTCAATCTACTTGGGGGCCCGGACAGAACAAACACAGAAAAGAATGTGCAGACCTGTCTGCTGGAGCTGGGATACACCCTTCCTCTCCTGTTCTTGGACAACAATTCCAGGCTTGCCAGCCTTTGGTCTGGAGAACTTACCCCAGCCCCATCCTCACCTCAGGTTCTCAGTCTTTTGGCCTCAGACTGAGCATTACACCTTTGGCTTCCCTGGTTCTGAGGCCTTAGGACTTGGGCTGAGCCATGCTAGGTCAGCATTCCTGAACATCCCAGTCTCCAACTCGCATATGGTGTGTCATGGACTTCCTCGCCTCCATAATTGCATGAGCCAATTCCCCTAATAAATCCCCTCTCATATCTCTCCCTGTATTTATCCTATTGACTCTGTCTCTCTGGAGGACCCCAACTAATACATGCGGCCTCCCTGCTTTTCAGCATTCATTTCAGATACTCAATCCTAGAGCTATTGGGATAGAAATAATTAATGGACTGAGCCCAAGAGAGCCAGGGTCACCTAGGTATTATCCCAGGGTCAGAGCATCATTAGGACAGAGGTGATGGGAGAGGGCTGGGGACTAGAGATTGTTCCTTGGAAAGGGCCTGCAGAGTGCCCAGCAGATGTGTACATATATGCATGTGTATGTGAGGATGTGCATGTGTCTCACATATGTGTGTGCATGTGCATATTTGTATGTGTGACTCTGTATATACATTTATATACGTGCTTATTGTACGTATGGCTGTGCCTGTGTATTTCTGAATGTTTGTCCATGTGTGTTACTGGCTGTGTGTGAGTTGGTGAGTGTGACTATATTTGTGTGGAATGGATCATTCTTTCCCCCAGCCAGAAGGCCAAGGAGATGCTACCAAGTGCTTAAAGACTTGATGTCACATTCTTGACTACCCCCACCCCCCTAGAACTTCCTGGCATCTCACTGTGATGCACAGGCATGGCAAAGGATAATCCTTACCTTACCCTGGAGAGAACACACTTTCTCTAGCCTCTGGAAACTAACCCATCGTACTTCTGGCTGCATTATCAATTTTCAATTAAGATACCAATTTCTCTGACCCTCTGAAGACAACAGCATGGAGCCTGGGTAATAAAGTGGAGTGGGTTCAGTGTATCCAGCCTCAGCAGTAGGAAGGACACAAGTTCTGGGACTCAGGGGTACAGCTCTGCCTGGTCTGACTACTTGAATTCCCTTTACAGATGAATAAAGTGGTATTTTGTGACTCTAGTTGCCTTCTCTTTCAACAGGTCTCAAAATGTATAGCCCACATCCTGTTACCAACCTTTGCACATACCATTTCCAATGATAGAAAGAGTCATATTCCAGATCCAATAGAAAGTTAATCCTGTATAGTCTTGATCTGCTGGGTGCCATTTCTGCAGATGGGGGCATGACACCTCCCTGAAGTGCCTTTTAAGGTATATATTCTCTCTCAGCATTTTCATGAGGGACATTCAAGTAGAACATACATCTTTTGGGGTAAGACATAAGCAACATAATTATAGAGACTCCAAATACTTCAGGTATAGAGACATTGAGAAAGAATGATTTCTTTCCCTTACTTGATGTGACAAAAGCCTGCCTATTCAAACCCATCCTAAAATTGGAATAATATAATGCAAATATATGTAAAGAAACCTGCAGAGCAGTAAATAGCATTAAAAAATAATGACTATGTAACAAATTAGATGGGTGGTCAGGCAGGGGTGGAGATACACGGAACTTCATGAAGTAAAGGTGTGGTTTTGGTTGGTTTCTGTTTTGTTTTACCCCTCATGTATCTTGAGATCACAGCTCATATAGGCCATTACACTTCAAGGATATGATCTCAGGACTGGAATATATTCACTTGCCAATATTAAGAGTAAGCAGTGCTCTCTTTGGTAGCACATATACTAAAATTAAAATGATACAGAGATTAGCATGGCCCCTGAGGAGGTTGGGAGTACAGAGATGTGGAGAGGGCCTGGAAGAGTATAAAGGTGGAAAATGAACTCTTGGAGTAGTTAGTATTCCCAGGACAAGAAGATAGACAAGGAGGATGAAAAGAATATGGCACACTTCATAGTTTCCAGTTGACGTTGTCCTACCCAAGGGATGCTCCTTGGCGTCTGGTGGAAGAAATACAATGGGCCATAGAACTTACTCTTCATCTCTTCCCATTCTCTTAAGGTCTTAGCATTTATTCCCCCATCTTATCATTAGATTTTTTTAGTGATTCTTTTTCTTTCTAGCCCAATTATATCCAATGATTTCCATAAAACATGATGATTTTAATAGTATTTTAGTAAGAATTTTCCTTCTTGCTATGAATTCCTTCAAGTAATAATCTTGAAAGCACACTAATAATAATAATGGTAATAATCTGGAAAAGTACAGTTTCCAGTTCAAGTAAGTAGCATTCCAAGTGATTGCTCAATGCCTTACTCCAAAGCAATTCCTTCCAACCCACCACAAGGCCAGAGCTCACTCTGGAATGTACTGTATCTTACACATCTTGGAATCCCTGGTGCTTTTCACACAATGGGTGTTCAAAACTGTGGAACTATACTGTGAACTGTTGGAAAAAGCTTCCTCCCAGACCTGCATCACACACATGCAGACATTCTGCCCCCGCCCAGCAATCTAGCGATCTCTCACTACTGCAAGTAGTAATGAAAGCTTCCTGATCAAATGACAAAGCCAGTGGCTCTTCTGAACTGCTCCATTTTCCATTATGCTCAGGATAGTTGGCATCTGTCTTCTCACTGCTCTGATACTCACTCCCTCACCTTCCCCTGCTCCTCACTCCATGTATTTCACCTTAGGGACTTTTTTTTTTTTTTTTTTAATCACAAGAGAAATTACCATGGAAGGCAGGACATCTTATGGCAAATATTGTACATAAAATATGTTGAAAATTAATCATTTTTTAGTGCTTCTGTGCCTGTCACCATGTGACTTAGTTGTTTTCTAAGTATGATTTTATTTAACGCTTGAAGAAGCCCTAAGAGGATGTTATTTTCCTTATTTGAGAACTTGGAAAACTGAGGCTCAGGGATAGTAAGCACTTCAGTCCAGATTACATAACTAGTGACTGGCAGTCTTGGTTTCTCAACCCAGTGAGCAGTTCAATGCCAAGGCCCTTGCTCCACTGTCTCCCAGGAGAACATTTTTACCTTAGGGAAGGATGAAAAAATATCTGACATATTATAATTTTGCTCTATTTTTTCTAACCATCTCTAGTATCAAGGCAAAAAGTTTTTCATTATGTGTTTTTCCTTTTTATAAAAGTAGTATTTGTTCACTGAAAACCATTTAAGAAATACAGAGAAGCAAAAAGAAGAAAAAAAAGTCACTTGTAATCCACCACTCAGATGGTGGTACATATCTGAAAGTTGGTACAGCTCTTTGATGATATTTTTGATTGAAACATTTTTTATGGGTTCATGTTATATAAAGAGTTAAAACTGGAAACATGGTTTTTATGCCACTTGTCTTAGTCCATTCAGGCAGTTATAACACAGTTTCATAAACGATGTGGCTTATAAACCATAGAAATTTATTTCTTATAGTTCTGGGCACTGGGAAGTCCAAGATCAAGGTGCTGGCATATTCAGTGTCTGGTGAGGGCTGGAGCTCTGGTTCATAGACGGTAGCTTCTTACTGTGTCCACATGTGGCGGAAGAGCTAGCTGGCTCTCTCGAGTCTTTTATAAGGGCACTAATCTCATTCATGCAGGCACGACTTAATCACTTCCTAAAAACCCCATCTCCTAAAACCTTGAGAGTTAGGATTTCAACACATGAATTTTGAGGTGACGCAAATATTTAGACCATAGCACCAACAAATGATTCCACAGCAATCAATTGTATAACTATACCATAATTTCACCAGTACCACATGGTTAGCATGAAGTTTTGTTTCTTTGTAAGAATATTAATGATATTGGGGTAAACATCTCTGTAATTATCTCTGTACATTCTAATATTTTATGAAAGGGAAGAAATATTTTATAAGTGTTAAAAAACTGTTAGCCCAGATGTATGAAAGTGAAAAAGAAACAAAAACTTTGCTCTAGATCAGTAGTTGACAGGCTTTTCTTGTAAAGGGGCAGGTAGTAAATATCTTAGGCTTTGTGGGCCATATGGTCTCTGTCGAAACTACTCCGCTCTGCCATCATAGCACAAAAGCAGTCATAGACAATCCATAAATGAATCAGCATGGCCATGTTTCAACAAAATTTTATTTATAGACCCTGAAATGTGATTCTCATATAATTTTTATGTGTCATAAAACGGTTTTCTTCTTTTGATTTTTTTCTAATCATTTAGAAATGTGAAAACTACCTTTAGTCTGTGTGCCATACAGAAGCAAGTGACTGGCCCTTTCTTGCTCCAAATCATCCATTCATCCTTAGAGACCTAAGTCTATGACTGTTTCTAGCCACAAAGTTACAGAATTGTGAGAGTTCTCTTTCCAACCCTTCCTTCTCCTGGATTTACACACACACACATACAGGGACATATACTCCTGATTACCCCAAAGTCCTGCCCTAGTAAGCTGGCCACCCTCTCCCAAAGTTCCATAAGTTCAAATATTACTTCTATTTTGTTTAATTCTATTTCTTGGAGCATCTGATTATCTGAATGAATTAATTCACATTAAAGAGTGATTAGTAGGGATCAACTCTCCCTTTGATAATTTCCATTTAAAAGAACATGCACCAGTGAGGCTAACGGAATGCTGAGGAAAACATTTTTGAGTGGCTGGTTACCTAGCTCTTCATTTAGGAAGTTGATTGTGGTATTATAAGGCTTGCCAAGAAGGCTAAGATGATTTATCTACTGATGCTCACAATCAGGGAGGCAGAACAATTGTGGTACAAGAAAAAATAAAAATTCAAATCAGAGGCTATTAACTGCCAAGAAAATGATAAAGAAATTAAATAACTAAATTATGATAAGGACAAAAATAATTGCTCAATGTTACCAAGCCTAGGCAGTCAGGGACATTTGTCTGCGTGTTGGTAGACATAGGACCTTGCCTTCTTCCCCTTATGGATAATGGCTTCACAATATCCTCAAGGTCTTAAGCCTTTGATCCAGTCGAGGTCACTACTTCATGGTTTTACTTGTGCATAAATAGTAAAAAGAAAAATAAAATTTAAACAATTGAGCTTAGAGGGAGTTCTTGAGCCATTTACTAAATTTCTAGAGATTTGTAAAGCTCCAAACAAATGCATTCATGAGTCCTTTAGCACATGACTGAACCTGGAAGTTTCACCACTAACTCCAAGGTAACCCTGGACAGGCAAAGAGAAATAGGGCAATGGAGGGTTGATGTGAAAGCATTTCCTGCAAAGGTATCCTCTCACCAGGTAGACAAAGAAAGATAAGTTACCCAGACTGAAGTTGCAAGAGTCTTTTTTCCTGAAAATCACATCCTAAACCCCTGGGACAGTAAAACTCTTCACTGAGGTCTCATAGAAAGGTGGTCTTGAGAAACTAAAACAAGCTTTGACCTAGGAGCTGCCAGCCAGCAGGTTTTCTCTTGTGGCAGTGTTTGCCTGCCATCCATCCAACCCTGACCAGAGGCTTCAAAAGCTGGAGCTCAACTCTACCCAAAGCACATGGGACGCTGGAGGATAGGTCTGCCCATGAAATGCCAGGAAATCCCAGAGCTAGGAGAGGTAGCTTAAAGGTCAACATCTGGGCATCAGGGTGCTGCTTAAAGCAAGTGGTGAAAAACACATCTTACCTCTATGTTCTAAAAATTGCCCCCCAAATATCTTTGTCTTTAATCATCCAATTTTCATTTCAAAGCCAAGCGCTAATAGGATATTAAAATAATATGCACATTACTAACCCAGGCTATTGGCAACTGCTGCTTGCTGCAAGCCCTTGACATTGCCTCCCTGTATCTAACCATGGTTCTGCTTAGTCTGGCTTCCTGCCTTTGGCAATGGGTTTGATGGTTCAGAGAAAGGCAAATTGCCTAGTTAATTAAAATCTGTACTTTTAAAAACATTTTTTCTCTTATATTGCCAGCCGAAGTTAAATGAGTACAACTTTCTTTTGAAAAGGCCAAAAATAAATTCTGGGCTTAAACATTGTAAATGAAATTGCTGCCTTAAATTCTAAGTTGCAGAAAAATAAAGGCTTATCATGAAAATTGTTATTTAGCTGTATCTGTGGGGGTGTGTGCACAAAGCAATTATTAACCTCCTTTATAAATGGGTATGTCAGGAACTTTGAAGGAAGACCCAGAGTTTGGTGGCCAAATGCCAGTGTGTGTTCAATATTCACAGTGAACTCTTCTCCCTCTGGTAGTTGTAATTCTACGTCTGTTTCTAGCCTTTCTCACCTTGGTTATAGCACTCTGCTAGGGTCACAGGGATTTCCAAAATCAACTGCAAGGGAGTATTCTGAATTCCTGTTGATAAATAAATTATGTCCCAATTACAGGTGCTTTTCTGAAATGTTACTCAATGAAGAAAAAAAAGTGAAGCTCCTGAGCTCAGCATATCTTATTTTGCTATCGACTATATTTCTGTGTCTGTGTTCAAGTAACTAACTCCCTTTGGCAACTCCAAGGAGAGCTTCAGGTAAACAAGTCAAACTGTCTTCTTGTTTATGCCTTTTTTGGAGAAAAAGTGAGAGTGCTATAATTTAAAAAATTTAGAACAGTAACAATGTCATCTTGAATTTACAAAGTGCAGGAGTTGTCAGATCTGTGATTTCAAGTCTTCCAACAACTCTTTTTGGGTAGGAGTAGTCAGGAGTCTGTGTGGTGGTTGAAGCCCAGGTTGGCCACCGGGAACTAAAATAGAGGCCAGGACTCCTGGCTCCCTGTCCAGATTCTGAGGACCCAGGAGCCTCCACGGGTACACTCAGAGGCCACACTAGATGTAGAAAGAACCAGGCACAGAGAAGTCAGAGGGTCTCAAAGGTATTTGTTTCAGCATTTAACAAGGAATTTTACCTGGGAGGTGATTTTCATTCAGAATCTGGCTACAAAGCTTGAAGAAAAAAGAGCCAACACAACTAAGGAAGCCTGTGCCTGCCTTAGAAAGGCAATGAGAAGTCTGTTTATGTCTTTTGCCCACTTTTTAATGAGGTTAATTGCTTTTTGCTTGTTCAATTGTTTAGGTTTCTTATGAATTCTAGATGTTAGACTTTTGTTGGATGTATAGCTTGCAAATATTTTCTCCCATTTCATAGGTTGTCTGTTTACTCTGTTGATTGTTTCTTTTGTTGTGCAAAAGGTCTTCAGTTTAATTGGGCCCTACTTGCCAATTTTTGTTTTTGTTGCAATTGCTTTCGAGAACTTAGTCATAAAATTCTATCCCAAGGCCAATGTCCAGAATGGTGTTTCCTAAGTTTTCTTCTGGAATTCTTGTAGTTTGTGGTCTTATGTTTAAATCTTTAATCCATCTTGAGTTAATTTTTGTATATGGTGAAAGGGAGGGGTTCAGTTTCATTCTTCTGCATGTGGATAGCCAGTTATCCCAGCACCATTTATTGACTAAGGAGTCCTTTTCCCATTGCTTATTTCTGTCAACTTTGTTGAAGATCAGGTGACATATAAACAGTGAACAAACATGAAAAAATGCTCAATATCATAATAATCAGAGAACTGCAAATCAAAACCACAATGAAATACCATCTCACACCAGTCAGAATGGCTATTACGTAAAAAAAAAAAAAAGACAAATACCAGCAAGGCTGCTGAGAAAAGTGAATGCTTATACACTGCTGGTGGGAATGTAAATTAGTCCAGCCACTGTGGAAAGCAGTTTGGAGATTTCTTAAAGAACTTAAAACAGAGCTACAGTTGACCCAGGAATACCATTACTGGGTATTCATCCGAAAGAAAATAAATCATTTTACCAAAAAGATACATGCACATGTGTGTTCAGCACTATGCACAATAGCAAAGACAGAATTAACCTAGGTGCACATCAACAATGGATTGGATACAGGAAATGTGGTATATATACACCATGGAATACTACACAGCCATAAGAATAATGAAATCATGTTCTTTGAGAAACATGGATGCAACCTAAATGAAGTAACACAGAGATAGAAAACCAAATACCACATGTTCTCACTGATAAGTGGGAGCTAAACACTGGGTACTCACGGACATAAAGATGGCAGCAGTAGACTCTGGAGACCACCAGAATGGGGAGAGAAGGAAGGAGACAAGGGTTGAAAAACTACCTATTGGGTACTATGCTCACTACCCGGGTGATGAGATCATTCATATCTCAAACCTTAGCATCACACAATATACCCACTTAACAAACTTGTACATGTACCCCATGAATCTAAAATAAAAGTTAAAATTATTTTAAAAAGCAGAAAGGCAATGACATGCAACAATAAGCAGTCAGACTGATATTCACCGCATACCCTGACAACTCCCCTCATCTGTTCTCAATCACACTTGGGGTGCTTCTGCAGGAAGGCAATGGAGGAGGTTTGGCTCTTGGGACCACTTTCTGTGTCAGTGACTATAGATTATAATGTTAATTTCTGGTTTGGTTTTTTGGGGGCATAGGGGGAGAGATTATTTTTCTTTTATTTTTTCTCCTCTCTAGAGCAAAACTCTTTTTTCCTCACTCTTTTTAAATAATTTTATTGTCAATGAAAACACAAAAGAGAGTTGAAAGCAACTCAAAATAGGGAATTTTCCACTGGGGAGAAATCAGGGAATAGCATAAAATGTCTTCTTGCCTTTTTCTTCAAATTCCATATTAATATTAACAGCAAAAATTGATGGTTGGGGGCAGCCATCTGCATCTGTTTTGAATCATCTTTGTCTCCAGACCTCACTCTCTTCCCACACTATTCTCCAAACTGTCATCAGGTTTAATGGCACGGCAGTCTTGGGCGCTGCACTCCACCCTCAGAGACCACTCAGAACTTTCAGTGGCCCTGAGTGCTAGATCCTTAGAAATGGAACCATCTTAGAGATCATCTGGTCTTGGAATTTCTTTACTGCCTTCTTTAATAACTTGGATTGGACATTTATAGAGCACTTACTATGCACCAAGGAATGGTTTAAGTAGTTCATATATATTAGCTCATTCATTCATCACACAGCCCTATCAAGTAGGCACCATTATCCCCATTTACAGATGAAAAACTGGGGCACAGAGAGGTTGACTCATTGACCAGTATGACCTTCTACAGGGTGGCAGAGCTGCCTTTCCTCATCACACATTCTGCATTCCAGCCAAACTTGCTGTAGGCTCTAGGTCTCCATCTTATGCCTCTGCTCACTCCTGTTCCTTTTGCCTGGAAAGCCTCCACACCTGGTCCCTCCCCTAAGCTCTGCATTGTCCAAATCCTATATAGCCTTCAGAATGAAGGGTGGATGCTATCTCCTCCAGGGAACTTCTCCTAATTGCCTTTAGCTAGGGTCAATCTCCTTATGCTGAAATAGCAAAGTACTTCCATTGTACTGTGTGGCATGTGCCACATTCTGCCCTGCATTCTAGTATGTATGCATGTATTTCATTTTTTTAAACATAAGATAAGCTCTCTATGGTAGAATGCGTGTGTGATGATTCCTGAGCTCCCATATCACCGAGTGCATTCTGTGGCACACATTAGATAACGTCTGTTGCTGTATTTACCACATGGTAGGAAAAATGTGTGAATGAATATGCACATTATAGGTAACATTGCTTCATGAGCAAATTTCCTCTTTTACACATTGCAATCAGGATCCTATAAAATTGCATATTTATAAAATGAATATTTACATGTGCTAGTCAAATGCGATGCAGTTTTTCCTAAGTGAGGAGGCACATGTGTGATGTGTAAACTTGCAACAACAAAGCAGCAGATCTGAGGACCCCATGTATACATGCAGGGTGCTGTCTGCCTTGGATGAGCTGGTCATTGCATGGCTTCTCTGCATGCTCTTGTGTGAAAGACAGCTTTTCTCTTGAGTCTCTATACCATCATTGCCCTTTCTGGGCCCATGAACTTTTGAACCAGGCGGTGGGGCTCTGCTCAGAGTAACTCTCACCCACCAATGTGCCCACATTGCAAGTGGTATTCACAGGCCACAGAAGCGTCACTGCTTAACCATGAGCCTTGAGACTCAGCCACAGCTCAGGCCACCACCCTCAGGATGCAGAACACTTCCTCCCATATATAAAGCTACACACTGAAAGTCATTATTGATGACACTCAGCCACATGGGTAAACTTATGAAGGAGTACACTTTTTCTAATTTTCATGTAAGTATCAGAGAAACAATGAGGCAGAGAGAGCAATGAACACAAAATATTTTGATCTGATCATTTGACAGGGTCTTAGATAGTAAGTATCAGCTTATAATAGAATTTAAATCACCTCCCAACCTCAGGCTTACATGGTTCACAGTGCAATATCCCCTGAAATTAGTAATGTGAGGGTGCTTGATTCTGGCTACATATCAGATTTCCTGTGGAATTTCACACACACACACACACACACCAGGCTCTGCTCTTGGAAATTCCACAATTCCAAAAAACCGCATAGTTCATTCTGATGTGAAGCCTGGGCTGAGAAAACTTTTTACTGTGACCAAATGAGACACAAAAATAATAGGCCACTCAGTCTCAGGCTGTGTCTTTTGCTGTTGCTGCTTTTTAATCAAAAAGCCTAGAGAGGCATCTCAGTGGGAACATTAATTCTGCAAGTGACAAGACTTATAATATTTCATAACTATAGAAAACAGCAGGTGGCCATGATTTCAACAGCAGAAGTCAAACATTTTTCCATCAGCACAAACCAAAATATATAAAACCCTACATACCCAAAAGAAGAACTATAAATACAAGATTGTGAAACTTGTATTCTGTTTACATTAGAATACCATTAATTAATTATTGACAATAGTTTAGTTTTAAAATAAAACCAGAATGGAGAAGACTCATTATTGCCTGAGACTCTAAAGAAGGCAAACTGTTGTTTACTGAAAACATTTAATGAACCATAGTCTATAGCTATATGGAAAAGCTAGTACATTATATTTTACAGCATGTAATTGATCTACAATATTATCTTCAATTCATCCTCATTAATTGGCTTTTCCATGAAACAGAAGGGCTTCCCCTTGCCATCTCTGATTTGGCAGATGTGGCTGGATTTCATGCTGTCAGCGTTCACCCTATGTACTCCCCTACAGATGTTCTTTTTCTTTCTGACACTTCACTCACTCCAGAGATGAGCCTTCACACTGTTAACAATACTTTCATATCCCTGTCTACCCTGGAAGTAGATTTTGGTCTCTACCTTTCCAATATAATCAAAGTTTATCAGTCCCATGTTCCCTGATTCCAGAGTATCCTGTTTCCCAGACTCTAGGAAATGTTAAAGTGTTTTGTAGAATAATCTGAGAAAATGGGATCTAATAACAAAATACATCATATTTTCAGGGTACAGATTTGAGTTCAAAGGGATCTTTTGGCAATAATGCCTTAGCCTAAAAGTGGTACTCCAAAAGTCAGAATTCCAAGCACTCAGAGGAGGGGACTGACGCAGCTTTGGCAGGATGCGTCACTCTCAAATCACATTGCATAAGCATCTACTTAGTCCACCTATTCCGAGAGCTTTGGCTCATTGGTCCATGTGGTCTCCTAGCACAGAGGAGGATGAGAACTACAGGCTCCTTCTTTTGGTGTCTAGCACAGTCCAGGACTCCCTACCCCTTCTGTTGAGGCTGAGCATCCAGAGTTAACCCAACAGCTCATCATTCTTTATTTCTCTTCTATACATGTTCTGGTAATTTTCCTGAAGGCACCATCTCCAAAGGAAAGAGCAAGTATTCAAAGCAGTCAGTTTTGCTCTTGCTTAACAATTCTGGCCAAAGTCTTGCCACCTGTAAATAACAGGGACTCTTCCCGCTTTATTTCCCATTTCCAAGCACAGTGGGGAATTGGGTCC